AACCGGCAACCCAGGCATGTGCCCTGACTGGGAATTGAAGGCTATCTCTTGGATCATACGTCGATGCTCAACCTCTGAGCCACGCCAGCCAGGCACTCCAGCTAATGCTGATGTGAGTGGTTTTGGGAGAACATTTCAGGGGTTGCAAAATTTCAAGAACCCAAGCTCATATCTAAACCTCCCTTTGAGTTTAAATCAATATATTAAACACTGTAGACTGTCAATACATGCGCATTTAATTAAAGTAGTAACAAAAGGGAACAAATAAGGAAATTCGGTTCATCTCATGACAGCCCACATTCTGTAAGTTAGAGTTAGGAGATCTTGCTTATATCATACATTACTTCCTCCTGAATGAGGAGCTAGCTATATGTAGTAAAAAGGCAACCTAATGTAGACTTTTGCTGTTGTTCCTTTTAGAGAGCCCATAAAATATTCTAATTATCTTTTAAAATTAAAAATATGTTGACCAATGTGTGGGGGGGGGGGCAAGGAGGAAAGTTGACTGAAGGTGGAATAAATGAGCATTATTCTCTGGCCTAAACAGTAATAATCAGAGAAACATAATTCTAAAGAGCATATAAAATAAAACCAAATGAATTTGATCATTCCTGATGTTAGGATTGTAATTTCCCTACTCCCACAGGAATTAATTATGGACAAATATTGTGGCATTATTTAACACCACAGAGAACTCAATTCTTTTGGGGGGACCAGGATACAATCAGGTTCTAGGGTGGGGAGCTTTCTGTGAGTCTAGGAAGCATGCTTTATATATTATAAATATGTTATTTCTCAACTAGTCCACAAACCTATAAAAGGAGCCCTAGTTTATTACTTAATGACTGTTTGTTAGATGGACCAGGTTCAGAAACCCAGGTACAGACACTAGGGTACAGAGACTTACCAGAGTGGAAGCCCAGGATGCCTAGCAAGGGGCAAAACTAGGAAAGCAGGAACCTTGTCGCCAGAGTAACCTATCCTCCCCAGCATATCGCTGGTCATGCGGTTTAGACCCCCTGAGGGTTTCCTCCCTAAAGATAACATCTAGGCCTTAGCTGAATTTCATCTCCAGGCCCAGAATAGCAATGAAACTAGACAAGTGGCCTCAGGACCAGATACATGGACTAATGACCCCCTGCCCTGGCACAGACCAATCAGTGGAGACCGTGACCCTGGAAGAGCGCCGGTGGAAAGCTGATGAATATTCTATTGAGACCCTCCTCTGAGGCCTCCCCTAAGATTTCCACTTGCAAGAAAAAGATAAATACTCTTAGGACAAAGGACTCAGTGTGTGCTTCCTGCTAAGGTAGCACCCCTGGGCCGTCTCCTTCCCTCTTCCCTCTGAGGGGACCCCATGAGACTTGCAGCAATGGGCAGAGGCAGCTCGTCCCAGGCTTCCCCCCTGAACCTGTCTCCAAGGTCCCCGAAGCAGCCCAGCCTAGGCTCTCCTGTTACTGCTTCCATGCACCTTCCTTGTTTCACCATCCCAAGTATATTTTTGCTGCCATCATGACCACACCCTTTGACTCAGCCCTTCCCTTTGGATATCCCCACCCTCCATTCCCTTTCCTTAAATAAATTCAATTTTTCTTTATTCACCATCTGAGAAGGCTATTTAGCCTGCCCACACACCACGGACCTTAACCTTTCACGTGTGACCTTGAATAAGTTATTTGACCCTCCCCCCAGAAGCTCAGTTTTCTCAGCTGTAAAATGGGTACCCATGTCAATCTGGATTCATGGTCCAAATTCCTTCCACTCAGCCAGGATTCTCCCCACACCACAGTGCCTAACTGAGGTTTATGTGGGAGGATCACATGAGATCATTTTTATGAAAGTGCTCTGTAAACTGTGAAGCACTATACAGACAAAGGGGATTATCATCAGTCTTTTATGAAGCCCAGCTATAAAGATGCAAAGTGACCCAGAAAAAGAAAGCAGGGTAGACAAACCCAAAATATAACATCTATAATGCCTAGAACATTACTCCATACATGGTAGGGAGGTGCTTAGTAAGTACTGCATGAATAAAGAAACACACACACACACACACACACACACACACACACACGCAAAAGCAGGTTTGTGTCTCCCTCAAACCAGGTATGATACCAACTATACCTAAAATCAAGGATAGTTTGATTCAACCATACAAGCCACAATGCCCCAAGAGCTTAGATCTTAAATTTAAAATTAGTTGATTTGAAAGAGCATTAAAATATAAAATATAACCCACCACATGCAAAGAAATGGTTATATTCTTACCTTTTCAGTCGTTCAGGTGTAGTCTGGTAGGTATAGAAGACTCTAGGTGAAGTTGCTGAATTTTTTTCCTTATATCTGATAGACCTGCATAATTATCCTAGCAAACTCATGAGGAAATAACAAATTCTATAGAATGTTGGGTACCTCAGCTGTTTTGGATCTGGAGAGTTGACTTTTAGTGACACCCTAATTTTAAGCAACCCAGATTTATCCCCTAAGCCCTCCTCTAAACATAACACAAAAGAAGACTGGAGTGCAGGTTGCAGGGGAGGGTGGAGAGAAGTTATTTACTTTATAAAACAATTCTTTATGAGTCCTTTGTCAGTTTCCTAGAAAAGGAAAATGTCGCTCAAATTTAAATATTCAAATTACATTCCAGACCAAACCCATACTGGGAAATAACAAATTTTAAAATTCAGGGGGAAAATGTTTTCTTCTGGGTGGGCCTGAACTCCCCCCCCACCCCACCCCCCTACAGAAAATGTGTTTTTATGCTGGGTAACATTTCCAAAACAGGGGTGTGTTTTTTTTCTATTATTGAAATGAAACAAACAAGTTTGCTTTCGGAGTCAGAGAAATACCCAACTGTTAGGGGGGGAAAAAAAACCAACGTTTTCCATTGGCCGCTTGCCTCTCCTGTCCCCAGGCAACCTTTCCTACTGGCCCCCGTCGTTGGGAGGTCCCCTGGGGCTGTCTGGTGGAACTGATTTTTGTGCGGCGAGAACTAGTTTCTTCAAAATCTCCGAGACCACCCAGAACATGGCCGGTGTTTGGCAAATGTGTACGTGTTTTCTCAGAACACTGAGTAACTAACCCGCGTTTCTGGGTCTTCATTTAAAAAAAAAGAGATGGGGGCAATTTTTTAAAAGATAAGAAAAGGAAGAAAATCTATTCAAAATTCATTTTATGCACTTGTGTTTTGGGAAGACGCAGGTCAAGAGAAATCAGTGCAAGGACCTCGACCTAGCTAAACAGTCCAAAATGAGCAAAAGCGCTTCAACTCGGTGCTGAGGGGTGAGCACCGGCCACAAGCTCGCTCGCAGGAAACCTGGCGCTGCCCTGGCACCGCTTCCCGGGTGGGGCCTGGCACCTAGTGCCGGGAGTCTCGGAGCGGGGTCGCGGTGGCAAAGGGAGGCAGAGGCTCCCAGAGGCCAGGCCCTGGCTTTGTCTCATCCCGCCGCGTTCCTCTCTCCTCACAGCCATACTAGGTGCTCAATAAATGCTTGTGGGACGCAGGAAGCAAATCGGCCCGACGCCTCAAAGGCGAATTATCCGGAACGCAGGTGTCCTCAGAGCCACTGGTGTCCTCACGGTAGCTGAGGTCATTCGGCCTCGGCTGCTAGGGCCCCAGCAGCAGCAGAGCAACCAAGGGAGCGAGCCGCTGGAGCCA